ATATATATATATATATATATATATATATATATATATATATATATATATATATATATATATATATATATATATATATATAATGTGTGTGTGTGTATGCAAGAAAAGCCACGGGGAGGGGGGTGGAAATCTTTAGCGCAAGTACTTTCACACGTCTCAGTGCGTCATCAGAAGCTGTGCAATGTTTCAAAGGCGATAACAGGAGAAGTTGGGTAAGTTTTCAGAGAATGGTAGTGTGGTGGCACCAGCCAGTCTGTCTGAGAGAGGCAAACGGGATGCAACCACACACCTGTTTCCCCCCACACCCCACCCCATATAGGGTCGGGTGGAGTAGGCCTCACAGTTTGCAGCTAGCATGAGGAAAAATACTAGAAGATAGTTAATAGCCAGCCCTAAGTTTCTGACCGCTGGGGACAGGTCATGTGATGTAAAAAGTTACATTACAAAAGTGGATCATTACATACCTTCATTTACAGCCTTCTAACTAATGAAATAGAAAAATTCCTCATTTGTCAACCACTGTTGCAGAACCTTCCAGATTATTCAGGAAACTCAAGAAACTCAATATAAATCTGACTTTTAAAAACACTGGGACAATGAAATAGAGACTGATTAAAAACACACCACCTTATAGTGTCGGTGGTGTCTACAAGGTCTCATGCACCCTTAGCCCACTCTCATACATTGGTCAGACAAGTAAACCTTTGGAAACCAGATTATCCCAACACCAGTACTCAGGACAGGCCACGTGTCGAATGCGATCTTTAATCATGTCAGCTCTTGCAATCACCCCACCAGTGTGGGCTGCCACCCAGATAATTGTTCCCAACAGTTCCAATATGGAAAGAAACATAATAGAGTCCTCCCTCTTGAAACATGATAGGAATGCTGTATGTAACTCAAATTATGGGCTGTACAAACTCGATAGTTATTTAATATAGAGTCAATTAAACAACAATGTTATGCAAAAGTGCAGACCACAGTCTGCAAACTGAACATCATGGCACGCCCGTCGTGTACGTCGATATAATATATGACACCTTGTTAAGTCTGTCGCGAACGTCGATATTTAATATGTTAGGTCTGCCTTCGGTATAACTCAGCTGCTGCTACATACAGGTATCGTAATGCGACAGGTGCTCTAGTTAGTTTGCTGCAATACAGGCTGCAACCTGAGCGATATAACATCTGTAGTAAGGAAGTAGGTATGTGGGTTCATTTAGGTATGGGGTCCCATGTGCGATCATCCTAGGATAGCCCAAAAGAAATGCAGAGTGACCTATAGAGGTCCTAACCCGTCTAGGTACAGTGGTACAAGGTACACACAGGTGGTTGCAACATGGTGATTGCAACTAGTGTAGTGGTTTAATGAATCAGGTTGCTGGTAATATTATAATGATAATAATGATAACAGCGGATGATAGTTGATAATAATGATAGGAATGACATTAAAATTAAGAATAGCCTAGTTATTATAAGTAAGAATGCCTGAATAGGAGAATTCACACAGGCATATTATTAACTGATACTGAGAGTATTTCCACTTTTTGCAGATGACACTACATATGTCTTCTCTCACCCGAGCCCAGTCACGCTAGCCAATACTGTAAACACCGAATTACAGAAAATATCTACCTGGATGAGGACTAACAAACTTACACTAAACATTGACAAAACCTACTTCATTCAGTTTGGTAACAGAGCTACAGATGTACCTCCTAACATAACAATAAACGGATCACCTATCACAAAGCTAACAGAGGGAAAATTCCTAGGAATCCACCTCGATAATAGACTCAAATTTCATACACATATACAACAAATTTCTAAGAAAATTTCCAAGACTGTAGTCATACTATCGAAGATACGGTACTATGTTCCACAGTCAGCCCTCCTAGCCCTTTATCACTCTCTTATTTACCCCTATCTCACCTATGGAATTTGTGCATGGGGCTCAACAACAATTAACCATCTCAGACCACTAATTACCCAGCAAAAGGCTGCAGTTAGAATGATAACAAATTCTCACTACAGGCAACACACACCACCAATATTCAAAACACTCAACCTACTCACCATACAAAACATCCATACTTATTATTGCACCTATTACATACATAGAACACTTAACTCTGATATTAACCCTCCCCTCAAACATCTCCTTGCCAACCTCAACAGAACACATGACCATAACACAAGGCACAGATCACTCTTTGATGTTCCCCGTGTCCATCTCACACTATGCAAAAACTCAATGCACATAAAAGGCCCTAAAATCTGGAATTCGTTACCTGTAAATATAAAAGAAACACTACCTGTTTATAAATTCAAGTCTCTTCTCAAAGATCACTTACTCACTCAAAACCAAATAAATACTGAATAACTGAACCTTATAAATTGTATATCCTATATGTTACTCACAATTATATCACACAAATGTTAAACCTAGGACCCAGTCTAACTTTATTATTTTTTTAAATACACTACCTAACAGAATACTCCATTCGACTGAATGTACAGCAATGCAAGCAACCATATGACCTGTCTTTGTAATACTCATTTGTGCTTTATAGTTATCTGTTTACAATAATGTTTTATCACTGATTTTATCATTGCTTAGCTAATCTTAAGTTAATTTTAAGCCAGCCCGTAATGCTATGCATATAAGTGGCTTTGGCATGCTGCTCTTACCTGTATTTTTTGTACCTCTGTATGTATGCTTAAAATATTCTGGAAGGTTCTGTGACACCGGCTGACAAATGAGGGATTTTTCTCTCTATTTCATTAGTTAGAAGGTTGTAAACGAAGGTATGTAATAATCCACTATTGTAATGTACCTTTTTACGTCACATGACCTGTTCCCAGCGGTTAGAAGCTTATAGCTGGCTATTAATTATCTTCTAGTATTTTTCCTCATTCTGTCTGCAAACTGTGGGGACCGGTGTGTGGTTGGCATCCCGCTTACCTCTCAGAGACTGGCTGTTGCCACCACACTACCACTCTCTGAAAACTTATCCTATTTCTCTTGTTGCTGCCTTTGCAACATTGCACAACCCCTGATGATGCACTGAGAAGTGTGAAAGTACTTTTGCTGAAGATTTCCACCCCACATGGCTTGTCTTGCATTGTCAAGATCGCTTGTCTGCGATTGTTTTACACACACACACACACACACACACACACACACACACACACATGGCACCAGTTTGGAACCCACACCTAGCCAAGCACGTGAAGAAACTAGAGAAAGTGCAAAGGTTTGCAACAAGACTAGTCCCAGAGCTAAGAGGTATGTCCTACGAGGAGAGGTTAAGGGAAATCAACCTGACGACACTGGAGGACAGGAGAGATAGGGGGGACATGATAACGACATACAAAATACTGAAAGGAATTGACAAGGTGGACAAAGACAGGATGTTCCAGAGATTGGACACAGTAACAAGGGGACACAGTTGGAAGCTGAAGACACAGATGAATCACAGGGATGTTAGGAAGTATTTCTTCAGCCACAGAGTAGTCAGTAAGTGGAATAGTTTGGGAAGCGATGTAGTGGAGGCAGGATCCATACATAGCTTTAAGCAGAGGTATGATAAAGCTCACGGCTCAGGGAGAGTGACCTAGTAGCGATCAGTGAAGAGGCGGGGCCAGGAGCTCGGACTCGACCCCCGCAACCTCAACTAGGTGAGTACAACTAGGTGAGTACACACACACACACACACACACACACACACACACACACACACACACACGGTTCAGGGAGAGTGACCTAGTAGCGATCAGTGAAGAGGCGGGGCCAGGAGCTCGGACTCGACCCCTGCAACCTCAACTAGGTGAGTACACACACACACACACACACACACACATATACATATATATATATATATATATATATATATATATATATATATATATTATATATATATATATATATATAATATATATATATGCAAAACAACCAATGTGAAAGAATAGAGAAATTCCAAGCGCTTTCGTGACTACTCACATTATCAAGGAACAATGGGCAAAGCTATTTAGTTTGCCAAGGAAATGGTGTATATCTACATTCTTGGGCATAAGACACAAAATATCAACAACATATCTGAACCATTTAGCTCTATTAGGGAGGATTGTTAAGCAGCCTTGTTCCAAAAAAAATCCATGTATAGGTTACTAAGAACAGGTGAAAGAGGATTTCCCATTGCCATACCAAACTTGAGTGTAAAACTTATCATTAAATACAAATTTTGCATCAACAATGCAAAGTTTAATAAGTTTAGTGATAGTAGGAACTGGCAATGATAAATCATAATTAACGAGTTCTTCAGATAAGAACTTAATAAATCATCAACAGGAACTTTCGTAAACAAAGAAGTAACACCAAAACTCACCTGTTTGCTGTGATATTATTGCATATATATATATATATATATATATATATATATATATATATATATATATATATATATATATATATATATATATATATATATATATTATTGGCAGCCAGTAGCTTTATCAATTCAGTGCAGAAGTTATTTGAAGGTGCTAAATCTAGAAACATATTAAGGCTTTGAGAATGAATTGTCTAGGGTCCCAATTGTTCAAGACAAAATGTGTTATTGTTGTCTAAATATGGCACGAAACTATTTGGTAAAAGATAAAAATCAGCAAGACAACTGTTACTCGTGTAAAACAAGTTCACTTTATACGAAATTGGCCGGTAGGCCAGGAAAAAGCCTCGGTCAAATGGTCATAAACTGAGGGGGGGGGGCACCGACGGGACCAGGATCTGGAGTTTTTCCTGACTGATAAAATACTGCCCCATTATAGAACTTACTGCGGCAGGAGCCATTGTAGGTCTTGATGTCATCGATAGCGAAGCCACCGTTGGTTGCCATGCCTACAACTGAGACCCGGTAGTCGGCCGAGGCATCTACTTCCACCTGTCCGTACTGCCACTCAGGACGCTGGGTGCCGATGGTCGTTGCTTCCAGCACCCACAGCTGAACGTCATGGAACAATTACTTTGTTAGGTTTAATTCTAGCGACTACACGTGGGTCATTCATCTATACAGTAACTTCAAGTATATTTTAATCCGTAAAATAGGGATTAAAGTACACTGTGTATATACAGAGATTTACACGTCTCATTGTACATATACCCAGTCGGAAACAATACGACGCGATTTTATAAAGTATAGCTGCTAATTGCAAATATTAAAGAATAAATCATTGCATTACCATAAATTATGTATTTCATCATCTCTGCATTTAAAGATACTAGGAAATTTGTGTACAGTTTTATTTAAAGTATAAAGCGCCTTGATAGAACTTTTTCCCTTCAGAACTTTGAATGATCATTGCTGCAGTAGCCACACACGACCTCTCCATACCAAAATCACTGGAACTACCACTTAATCCTCACATTTCAGGAGGAATATCAGTTCTGCTCTCATTATTTTTCTTAATGTATTTTTGCATATAAACTTTTGACTGTTAAAACATTTCCTCCCGCCAGGTCCTCTTGCAGCATTGATCGCAATATCCCATTAACAAAATAAAAGAAGTTGCGTAAGCAACTCTAAGCCAAGTTGCTTACGCACTGACCTAGAGCTTTAGAACTCACTGGCCATGGGTTCAGTTCCCACAACTTCCGTTGTTTCTTTGCAATCGTGTTATTACGATTTCGTGAATCGCATTGAAAACTCATTACCGGAATGAGGAATGAATGTTTTTAGTAAAGTTATACCTATATTAATACATATACTGTATTGTTATACTCCCATTAATTTTACACGTATTGTACGTCCTAATTTTTTTATTCGTCTAACTTAATGTAGTTGTAGTAATGACATCAAAAATATTTTTCTTAAGTGAATGGTATGTTAATATTTACTTTTCATCTTTATTTTAGCCTCATATTATTTACTTATCTATTTGTTTTAATATTTGGAAAACACAATTTTCTTAAACCCTTAAATTACTTTTCAACAGACATTTTTTTCTTGTTACTCTAAAAGTATAATACACAGGTCTACAAAACTAATGTTCACTAAGACTCGAAATTCAAACTTGCCCTCCATAAATAACAAAAAGGCACAATACCGTGACTGGAACATAGCAAGACCCAGATTTCTCAACCTTTACATTTGTAACACCTAAATTAACAGTTTTACAACGTCTATAACAATATATAATCCGAATATTCCGTTTCCACAATAAAACAGATTTAAACATTCGTAACCCTAATTTAGAATAAAAAGACATATGTGGGAGACGGCCGACTTGTTGAAAATATATATATATATATATATATATATATATATATATATATATATATATATATATATATATATATATATATATATATATATATATATATTATATAAAATGTGTGTGTGTGTGTGTGAGATAAATGGTTTAAAACCGACAAGTTGAAGATTGAGACACTTATGCAACATGTGGGAATCTTACTGAAGAAACTTTTAGCCACACAGTGACTTCATCAGTCCATACAAAGGAGAATGTTGAAGAATAGGAGGAGTTTGAGGTAATCAGTCCCTTAGCCTTGAGTCGAGCGAAGGGCGCCGTGGAGACATTGGTGAAGCTGCGCCAGCGAAGTCCAAGCACCTTCCACACACTCACATCTGGCTCTTCCTCACAGCGGCGAGTGAAGAAGTCACACGTGTTTGAACTCCGTCATTTTTTTTTTATTTTTTTTTTGACGGTCCCAGAGGGCCAGAGTGCGGAAAATAGACGTGTGCAAAACTTAAAGTGCATATCCTTTTATAAACCCACATAAAGGAAATACCAGTGATCACTGAAAAGAAAAAATATAGATTATAGTGTCAAGTGTAGTGCCGGGTCTCAATAAACGGCTGTTACTGGAGGGTGCCATACAGGAAATATTTTTAGCAGTGAGCGTAGATCAGTGAGGGGAAATAAGAAAGAACAGGGATTAGCACAAATTAGCACAGAAAAGCTAAGAAACGAAAAAGGACTATTATTAAAACCGCAGGAAAATATAAGATATTAGTAAAAGTGTAGGAGTGCAGGTTGTGAACTAGGCCTAAAAGCGTTTCCATGCAGTGGTCGTGTTGTTGTATACGGAAGGGTTGTTTCTTATCTTGTCATTAGTAATATAGTGAGTGACGAGGTTGTGGGAAATTAAAAATTACCTGTCTGAGTCTCATCATTGCATTCATACAAATAATCTCATTAGGAGGTGACAACCATATATTATTTACAACAGTTACCGCGGAGGCGTGTGGGAAAACTTGAGCCACTCCTAGTCGCTTCGAGCGTCTCCTTCCCATCTTCCCATATTTTCCATACGTGTTAGTTACCATTTGGTCCTAGGCACATGTCGATTAGACACTAGGCCTGTTGTGTGTGGGGGGGGGGAAGTACCCTGGCTGGTGTGTGTGTGGGGAAGTACCCTGGCTGGTGTGTGTGTGGGGAAGTACCCTGGCTGGTGTGTGTGTGGGGAAGTACCCTGGCTGGTGTGTGTGTGGGGAAGTACCCTGGCTGGTGTGTGTGTGTGTGTGTGGGGGAAGTACCCTGGCTGGTGTGTGTGTGTGTGTGTGTGTGTGGGTGGGTGGGGGGAAGTATCCTGGCTGGTTGTGTGTGTGGGTGGGGGGAAGTATCTTGGCTGGTTGTGTGTGTGGGTGGGGGGAAGTATCCTGGCTGGTGTGTGTGTGTGTGTGAGTGTGTGTGTGTGTGTGTTTGTGTGTGTGATGTGTGTGTGTGTGTGTGTGTGTGTGTGTACTCACTATTTGTACTCACCTATTTGTGGTTGCAGGGGTCGAGTCTAGCTCCTGGCCCAGCCTCTTCACGGTTGCTACAGACCCTCTATCTCCCGTCCATGGTTTATCAAACTCGTCTAAATGTGTATGGTTCCTGCTCCACTACGTCTTTTTAGGCTATTCCACTGCCCCTTTACTACTCTCATGACTGAAGAAATAATTCCTACTATCTCTATGACTCTATGTGTGTCTTCAATTCAATTGTGGCCTCGAGTTTCTGTTCCCCTCCCTGAACATCTGTCCTTGTCCACCTTGTCTATTCACGCAGTATGTTATATGTCGGTTATCATGTCTCCCTGTCCCTCCTGTCCTCCGTGTCGTGCAGCCGATTTCCCTTAATCTTTATTCATAGGACATTCCCCTTAGCTCTGGAACCCTAACTTGTTGCGAACCTTTGTACTTTCTCTAGTTTCTTGACGTGCTTTATCAAGTGCGGGTTCCAAACAGGTGCTGCATACTCAGTATGGGCCTGAATACACGGTGTTACAGTGTCTTGAATGATTCCTTATTAAGGTGTCGGAATGCTGTTCTCGGTTTGCCAGGCGCCATATGCTGCAGCAGTTATCTGATTGATGTTGTGCTTCCGGTCTACATGCTCGGTGTCTATACTCACCCCAAGTTCTTTTCTCCTTGAGTATGAGGTTTGCAGTCCTTTGGCCACCTAGCCTATACTCTGTCTGTGGTCTTCTGTGCCCTTACCCATATCTTTCATGGACTTTGCATTGGCAGGATTATTTCCCATCCCCCCCGCGCCTATTTGCTGGACCAGGTGTCCCAGTCTGTCCAGTCTCTTTGAAAAGTCTGCCTGTCCTCATCAGATTTAATTTCCTCATTAACTTCACATCATCTGCAAACAGGGACACATCTGAGTCTAAACCCTTCTTCTGTCGTTCTCATATACCAAAAATAGCATGGTCCTAGGACCAGAACCCATGGTGGGGACCCGCTCGTCACAGGTGCCACACTCGTGTTACATCATTACGTACCATGACTCGTTTTGCCTCCCTGTCAGGTATTTCTGATACCATTGCTGTGCCCTTCCTGTTATATGCGCCTGATGCTCTAGCTTCTGCACTAATCTCTGTGAGGAACTGATTGCAAAGGCCTTCTTGCAGTTCAAGAAGATTGCAATCAACCCACCCTCTCTCTCTTGTTCTTACTTTGTTATTTTATCATACAAACTCCAGAAGGTTTTGTGACACAGGATTTGCCTTAGTGATCCGTGCTGGTTGTGCATTTATACTCCTGGTCCGTCCCGGTGCTCCACCACTTCCTCCTGATAAATCTTTTCCATAATTTTGCATACTATCACACGTCATATGACACAGGTCTATAGTTTAGTGCCCTCTTTTTCTGCTCTCTTTTTTGAAATGGGAACTACATTTGCTGTCTTCAATACCTTCGGTGTTGCCAGTTTCTAGGATGTGTTGAAGATTGTGGTAGTGGTACGCACAACATATATGACTCCTCTCTAAGGGAACCCATGGAGAGATGTTGTCCGGTCCCATTGCCTTTGAGGTATCGATGTCCTTAGCAGTTTCTTCACTCCTCCTCATCTGTATGGTATGTGTCCAACACTTGTTGGTGTATTCTCCTTGTTTGGATGTCCCCATATGGTCTGTCCCCCCAGAGGTCCTTCCTGGTCTTACTGGAAAATCTTCTAAAAATCTCGTGTGAGCTCGTCACCATACCTCCTTGATCGTTTCTTGTGAGTTCCCCACCTTCTTTCCTTCGCCTTATCACCTGGTCCTTGACTGTTGTCTTCTTCCTATGTGGCTATACAGCAGTTTCGGGTCAGATTTGGACTTTCGATGCTATGTCGTTTTCATACTGTCTCTGGGCCTCCTCCTTATCTGCGCATACTCGTCTCTGGCTCTTCTACTATCTCCTTGTTTTCCTGGGTCCTAGCTCCTTTACCCTTTTCCATTCTCTGTTGCACTTAGCTTTTGACCTCCCTACACCTTCGGGTAAACCAAGGAAGCGTCTTGGTCTACTTCCTATTATTTCTGTTTTCCCTTGGGAACAAAAACTTTCCTCTGCCTCCTTGCACTTTGTTGCACATTTTCCATCATCTACGTTTATGATTTTCCTACCATTTCTCTGTCCCACTGACCTCCTGCAGGAAGTTTCTGCATACCTGTGTAGTTCCCCCTTTTATAGTTTTGGCCTGTCCCCTTCAGTTCCTGGTACCTTCTCCA